AAATGAAAAGATTGGATAATTATGGACCAATATATACGAAATGAATTTAAATAATTAAGAATGAGTTCTTACATTCATTCTTAAAGTATCATAAAAAATTAAAGTAAGATTTAAATTTAAAGATTGGATAATTATGGAACCAATATATACGAAATGAATTTAAATAATTACAACAAGTTCTTACAATGTTAACTTAAGATACCATTTACACAGAATTTTGAATAAATTGGGGTCTCATTTTATTTGATATACGTCATATCATCATGTCATCGTCATTATCATGTAATAATTTAATTTTAATTTGATTTATATCAAAAAAATAAAATGAAGTGCTGATTCTTAAATTTAGTATTGCATGAAGAAGGACAAACTTATATTTATGTTCATATTCAACAATATATATTGCTTTTAACATTCTCCAGAAGAGACATGCAATTTTTTGTAAGAAATTCAACTTCTATAGAACTGTCTCATCTATTTATTAGATTTCTATCTATTTATTTATTTGACTTCTATAGCATATATTTATATGCTATATGTTTGACAGTTTATATAGCAACTATATCTAAATCAATATGAATACCATTTTGCAAATTCTCTTATATGAATACTTATATGTGTAAAAAGTTTCATTAAAATAACACAAAAACTAAAAAAATCAGTTTAGAATGAAACATACAGATAGATAATCCTAAATAAACGCAAATTGTAGAGCTGATCGAAAATAAATAAACTTTATGGAGTCTACGATATTTCCTTCGCTGCATTATAAAAATCTTGACAAACCTCATAATCCCTTTTTACAGTTTTTTGTTTAAAGGATATAAAAAAGTATGTATATTATTATTAAGAAGTAATAAAGCAAAGTGACTATAAGTTGTATTAAAACAGTGATTACTACAAATAAAATTGATGCATACTTTACTTAAGTACATAAAAAATATCGAAAACCCCCAAACACTTTTGAAAAGATTCTTCAAAGGATACACAGCACTCAGACCGTAAAGGTGTATTGTACTGCTATATTATTTCTATATTTTACACAATATTTTGAACTCTTTTTAAGCAAGCGGATAACGTCTTGAAAGGTAAGAAGCTGATATTTAAGCTACGTATCACGTCAAAGATTAAAATTGTTCAATTTTTTTGAGTGTCGGACTAAAGAACTTAAAGTTTGTTACACAAAAGCATAGAAAATGTTTCATAGTCTTCCTTACAAGGTGGACATAAGCAAGGTCAAGGATCAACTATTAAATACACATTTCTTAGAATACTTTCTATGTATAGAAATGGAAATAAATAGGGTACCAGTTCCCAACGGAGCGGAGCACTGCGACCATAGTTGATCTTTTGTGCTCCAACAGACCCTAATCGAACAGAAAACATTCTGCTTGACGAATGAAAACGAGGATGTCAGCCGTTGAGGACTTCCTAATGTTAGAAAGGGAAAGTAGTTCTCCACTCAGTGACCTCTTCTTGGTCCAAATCAAGACTGAGCAGTCATAGAGAATGTGACTGGAAGTCTCCTCTGCTTCTAAACAGAGTCGACAATTCATCTCTTCGGACGGACCCATTTTGTTAAGGTGATAACGCAGTCAATGGTGACCCATTAAATATTCCACCAGCAACCTCAACTCTGTTATGCTGAAGAAAGATACCTTACTATAACGAAAAGACGTCTTTTGACAAAAAGAAACTATGTAGTGTTCTTAGGAAATATTCGAATTTTTAAATTAGTTTATAGTAAGTATAGAATTTGTTTGGGCTGCAAGGCTTAGAACTCGTGCCTGCCAAATTAGAACCGATGACTAATCGTGTTTTTTCAGGCTGCACAAACTTTCAATGCTCCATTTTCAAGTTTGTTCACTAATTTTTTTTTTATATATAATAAAAAAATAATGTATAAAAATAAAATAATATAAAAATGTTATAATTTATTATAACATTTATATAAATGTTATATTCCCTATAATATCAAATCAAAAAAAAAATTTTTTTAAAAAAAAAAGGCAATAATAGAAGGGAAATTTTTAAATTAAATAATTTTTAAATTATTAAAATAAATATATTAATATGATAATATATAATAAAAAAATATATGCCTTTTAATAGGAATTTTCTTTGAAGCCAAAATAATAGTTATGAAAAAAATGTTTAGTAGTTAATCAAGTGAATTTCTGAGCTGACCTTCATATACTTTGAAATTTCTATCATTAAAGGTCTTTGGAAGCATGTATTGTGTTATTTGTCCATAAATAATTTTTACTGCAAAGGTCGGTAATCTGAATCATATCAGATTTTTATCTGGACTCGCATGCTAACACACAAAGAAAATATACATTTAATATGAGTTATTATAATTCCGATTCTTGTCAATTTTTTTATCTAATTTTTTTTTTCGTTTATATATGTTTTATTGAATCCTTCTTAACATTAGAAATTTACAATAAATTTTCAAATCTTAAAGTAAGGATTTACCAATGCCAATGACACAAGATATCGTATCGAGAACAAAACTACAATTTAGTTTACTTAATCATTGTAATTAGTTTTTATTTTAATTCAAATATTATTGTCTATTGAAAGCATTAAACATATTATTATTATTATTAAAAATTTAGGCGTGAAATCGCTCAATAGCCAGTCCTGCGGCCAGAAGAGTCCTATTGTACCAGTTTCACTATTGATTACTCAAAGCCCCTTAAAGCTTTGTGAATAAAGCCTGAAACTAAATCTAGAGAAGAGTTTTTAATCTTTTCTGTTGACAGAAGTTCCAAATGAAACAAGTTCCTTCTGAGTGTCATTAAAGCTGTGCATTCACAAAGAATATGCATGGTAATAACACAAGAATATGCATTAGCAGATAGTTGTAGTTTATGTAGGCGGTATTTTAGTCCATAATGACCTGTAAAGAAACCCGTTAGCGACCTTAAATTACATTTTGAGAAATTAAGAATGCTTAAGAATTAAACATAAACATATATATATTATATTAATTTGAAATATTTAAATATAGCTAAAAACTAAAAACTAAAATACTTCAACAATTTTTGTCACTCATACGCCATGGTTAATAAAAATACTTGACAAAATAAAAAACTATAAAATTTCGGTAACATATTTTTATTACATTTAATGTAATATGTAAAATAATATAAGTTGTTGATTTATAAATATCAGAGAGCATAAAAACAATAAATTAAGTTATTCATAATTGAATCAAAACCAAACATATCATATGCAAATGGCAACTTTTAATGTAACCTTTTCCTTTACAAATTTCAATTAGCTAATTGCAACAATTATTTGTTTTATGTTTTCGTATAAAATTTGTATAAATATGTGTTTGTATGTAAATACGAAAATTTTCCAAATATGCAAATTTCAATTTTCGCTAACTAGGAAAAACATTGTATGGGAAAATATAAACATTTGCATATTTTACGATGAAATTCTGTGACAATTTACTATAAACAACATATTTACATATATAAGTGAGTGGACTAGTGTTATTGAACTTTTAAAACCATATCTACTTAGTAAAATTTATATATTTATTTATAAGTATATATCATTTTTTTTTAAATGCATGTACACATTTATTACACAACTCGATTTACACAATAATATATTATCATAAATCTTTTTAAAAGCATTTTTCGTTTAGATATTTTTATATATTATTTTTATAATATATTTTTTAAGTTCATAACACTAATAAATTATTTAATTTTTTCATTGAAATGTATTTCATTTTTATTAGTTAAAAAACATGGACATTTATTGTTTTAGGCACTAAATTATAATGAATAATATGTAAATGTAAAATGTAAATGTATAAAATATTAGCCGCTATACTAATATTATAAATCTCACTATTAAACTTTTTCACAACTATATTAGTCATAAACTTTTTTAAAAATATTAAAAACAAAACAAATAATTTACCCGCGGAAAGAAGCAATTGAATAACAGAGTGGACCAATTGAACTGCAACTAAAACTCCATATTAGTTTCTAGTGATACGATATGTAATAGTGTATTGACGTAAATACTAAGATCTCAGCAATTAATAGAACTATTACTAAAGGTGTTAATAGCAAATTGCTTTATTAAATTATAAATTCTCAATAAGTTGTTTTTTTTACTTGAAGTTTAATTTTATTTAACCAACTAAAAATAAATTAAAAACAAATTTTTTCGAATTTATTTTCAAAATTTAATATGGCTTTTAGTTCGATACGAACGACATATAATCACTTGCTATGCGAAATGAAGACTACAGAGTTTCTATCTAATCATGAAAAGTAATATTATTAAGCACATCCTCACTCTGTTGAATTTGATTAGCGTAAATCTACACATCAACAAGTCCAAATGACTTGGCTTTATTGAAGCCACTAATAAAACGACTATTCTGTTCAGCCAGATATTTTTTAACCAACGGCTTCAAAGCACCTTTTCACTCTTAAGGTTTGCATTAACTGTGACACTACAGCCCAGAAGCACAAGCTGAGTGTTTCTGGGCTGAGTGTTTCTTTGCATAAAGCGGTACTACTTTATCCAGTTAAGTAATTTCGATCATTTCCTTATATAGGTGATTTATCTCAACAAAAAAGATGATATCCGCCAATTGGTCCCATTCTTGCAAGCGCTAGACCTACTCCACTTTAACGAACTTTTTTCTTAACTTCGGGGAAAGATTTTATTTATTGAAGCTTATAAGGTTTTATCCTGGACTCATTTTTGAGTCAGAGAACTCTAAGACAAGAAATCCTCCTCAAGGATTAATGAACTGGAACTATTATTCAATGCCAATCTCTGTACCACTAGAGGACTATACCCATTAAGGAACTATTCTTAACCAAAAGTTGCATTCAAAAACTACTACAA